TACAGAAAGCAAAAGAAGTCATTAGCTGTGCTAATTGTTGAAGATAAAGAGTAAAAGGCAGTGACAGTTTGCTTTGTGTGTGGTTAAACTTGTTAAATGCGTAAATTAAGCAATTCATTCAATAAATTTCGTTCTCATTTGATTCATTACTACCATGGTATTCCACCATGCCAGCACACTAGCAGTTTGGGATTTTTTACTCCACTCAATTTGATTCAAACTATACCTTTTTCCATTGTGATACACAATACCCAGTGTTTTAATTTGGTATTGCATTATACAACTTTCTTTGAGCGTACATATCGTGAACAAATAACTTAGTAAGACTTCTATAGAGAATTGATGAGTAGCATGGCTGGATCTGGTTTCTTGTGAAGCCACAACACAAGTATACACAAACTTAGTAGAAATAATGTGGTTTTGGCCAACTAGGATATTTTGGTTTTACTGTTTATAATTGAGTTTAATTTACATCCATTTGCTTTTGAGAATATGTGAACGTGCTTAAAGCACCTTGAAGGCTATGCATTTAATTACATTGTTAACTAATGTCATCCTGAGAAATGGATGGAAGTTGAGCCATCAGGATTTTCAGTGACATCAGCGTTTTCAGCAGCATCAGGATTCACTGCATTAGGATTCTCAGCTTTCAGCTGTGTGCAAGGAGGGTGGTAGTATTGTCATAGGTGTCCTGTGCTGATGCTTAGAGACAATCATAGTGTCTGTTCAATGTGAATGTTGCCCAAAATCTTTCCCTGATTTTTTTGGCACCTGAGCAGTGTTAAATCTGCTGTATTTTTGGGGTGTCTCTTTTGCAGAAAACAAGAAAAATAGAAACTGGTACTTGAATTTTTGTGCATGGCTATTGAAAAATCATCAATATCTGTTTTGTACTCTGTGTGTACTACATACTAAGGTTAAGTTAAAGCTCTGATCTGTGAAACGCTGGGGATCTCAGCTGAACCTTGGCATTTCAAGCCTACAGTTGTGTGCAGCTACTAGGTATGTAACATTTCAGAGCCTTTCACAAAGAGTAAGCTGAGCCTTCTCCCAGGACTTTTCCTGCCCTGCCCCTCTAGTATGGTTAAGTCTGTTTGTATACAAATAAATAGATTTGTACTTCAGGAGATAAGTCTTTCCCAATGTAATAATAGTATCAATCTGTGACTTTCTTAAAGATTTAGGAGCTTAGAAAGACTTAAATTCTTGGCATGTTTTATAGTTAAAATGCCTTGTTGCTACTTGTACCAGCACATAGAGGAGCAATTAAATGGCACCCTCATGGCAGGGATTGTGTGTGAGGCAGCTTCACTTTCCCTTGTAAGTAAAGTGAGGAGAATTATATCTGCTCTGAAGTTTTGTGGTGAGTGGAGTCAGGGTCCCTGGTGTTGGGCATGGACCTGCCTGCTCTCCTTCCTTGGGCCTAGAAGACAAATCATATGAAGAGCGGCTGAAGGAGCTGGGGCTGTTTAGTGTGAGGAAGAGGAGGCTGAGGGGAGACCTCATCACTCTCTACAACTACTTGAAAGGACACTGTAGAGAGGTTGGTGCTGGTCTCTTCTCACAGGTAATTAGTGACAGAACGAGAGGGAACGGCTTCAAGCTCCAACAGGGGAGGTTTAGACTGAACATTAGGAAGGAATTTTTCACAGAGAGAGTGGTCGGGCATTGGAACAGGCTGCCCAGGGAGGGGGTGGAGTCACCATCCCTGGCTGTGTTTAAGGGCCGTTTAGATGCAGTGCTAAGGGACATGGTGTAGGGGAGGACTTTGTAGAGTAGGGGAGATGGTTGGACTCGATGATCCCAAGGGTCTCTTTCAACCTCAATGATTCTATGATTCTATGATTCTATGATTCCTTTCATCCTTTCTTCCACTTCTCTCTCTTTTACTATGCGCAGACCCCATGCCTATACGAAAACCTGACATTGATTCTTAAGGATTATTGGTTTTTTTTTTTTCATATTTACGTGTGTTAACAAAAAAAGAGGTTCTTGTTTGGGATGTACAGGCAGAGAATTGCTGTTAGCCCCAGTCTGAGTCAGGGGACCAGTGGATGACTTCTCCCAGGAACAAAACGGAGATGCCAGGGAGCCATTAGCTTGGAAATCTCACCCAGAAGAGGATCATGGAAAGCTAACAGCTCCACCTGGGATCTTGTAGATACTGGGAGTTGTCCACAGAAGGGGCCTGTATTTTCATGCCTGGAAGGAGAGTTGCATGGTGACATATTCCCATCCCATGCCCATCCAAAGCAGTATTGTGGTCTTTGAGCTGGCTCAGGAGAGTGACAGTTCATTGAGAAGCATTTGAGACTGAAGGATGATCAAGGCTTGCTATTTAACCCTTGAAGCTTGGAATTTGACCTTTTCCTTCAGCCAGGATGCCAGGGAGCCATTAGCTTGGAAATCTCACCCAGAAGAGGATCATGGAAAGCTAACAGCTCCACCTGGGATCTTGTAGATACTGGGAGTTGTCCACAGAAAGGGCCTGTATTTTCATGCCTGGAAGGAGAGTTGCATGGTGACATATTCCCATCCCATGCCCATCAAAAGCAGTATTGTGGTCTTTGAGCTGGCACAGGAGAGTGATTGTGAAGCATTTGAGCATTTGAGACTGAAGGATGATGAAGGCTTGCTATTTAACCCTTGCAGCTTGGAATTTGACCTTTTCCTTCAGCCAGAATGGCTGGGAGGCAGTGCCTTGCCTGGAAGCAAGCTGGCAGCTCTGTGTTACACGCTTCAACAGCTTCCAACACCAAATTCCCATGTCCTGTCATTTGCTCCTTTACCAGTTCTGTGTGTTGGATCAAAAACTCCTGTAAGCCCCATTTTATGTTCCCAAGTCTCCCCAGCTTCACTAAATTAAACCCAAGGTCTTGTCTAGGGAAAGTCACACTACCCTAGACCTTCATTATTCACTCCATTATCAACCAGGATTCTGCCGTTTATAATGTTAACATCATAAAAATGACCTTTTAAGAAGACCATTTTAGGAAGTCTCTTTCCCCATCTGCTTTTTCCTGTTGTCCTACTAGATATATTTTGGCACCCAAAACTTTTCCTTGATTTTCCTTGCACAGATAGAGAAATGGGAGATCAGGAAGATCTTCTGTAGGGTTTAAAAGTCTTCTCCCATTGACTTAACTGGCTCTATACCCTTCCAGAGGGTAAAAATATGAGGGATTTCTCTTTGTTGCTAATGTTATTCTGGTTTTAGAGCCACTGCTGGAGCTTCTGGACTGTAGCAATGTATGTAGAAAGCAACTGTGTGGATTTGAGTTGCAGCATTTACATCTGCATGTGTACTGCACGTGTACATGATGACTTAGAAACTGAGGGATCCTGAGGGATCATTCTCCGAATGAGCAGTTTGCAGAGTTTTGAAGCACAGCACACTGCTACAGCAGCTTGCAGAGACTGACAAAAAAAAGCTCAGGTTTAAATGAAGTCTCCCCAGAACCTTTTACGCTGGGTTATTTCAGCAATCCAGTTTAGAGTGTGGCCCTATCACAGAATCACAGAATCTTAGTGGTTGGAAGGGACCTCCAAGATCATCGAGTCCAACCACATTAAAAAAAAAAAAAAACAACAAACCCCAAAACACCCCCCTCCAACTAAACCCCACACCCACAACCCCACACACAACCCCCCACCACAAACCAATAATCTTGGGCACTAGAGCATGCCCTGAAGAGCCATGTCTACACGTTTCTTAAATAGCTCCAGGGATGGTGACTCCACCACCTCCCTGGGAGGAGGGAGGAAGGAGAAACGTGCCAAGCAAGCCAAAAGAGGTGGGGGGAGCCTGAAGGTGAGGAGCCCCAAGCGTTAGGTTCACTATGAGTGTCTTTGGCCAGGGAGGGGGCAGTTCCCCGCCGCTCTGCTTCCAAATCTATCGATGCCAGTGGCAGCCTGGAGGCAGCCTGGCTGTCTTGAGCAACTGTGACTCACTGCTACACTGCACAGCTGAATTATTTGGGGTGGGTGGGCTGTATTTGTCACACTGTCACTGAAGATTTGGCTAAGACAAGGAAGCACATAGGCTGTCTGGGCTGTTGGGTCGACTTTGGCTATACACACAGAGGTCTATGACTTGAACTTACTAGAACAAGACAAATGTGGCAAGGGCAAAAGCATTACATTCACAGAAGACAAAGATGACACCGCGCCGGTGCTAAATAATGAAATTTATTGCACTAGATGCCACATCAAAAGCTGAATGATTCTTAAACTTCATTCACAACCTGCCTAATAAGACCTATGATGAGTATTATAGTCTGGGACTGAGTGTTTGAAAGTGCTCCCTTGACATGTGCGCTACTTAAAGGAACACTCAAGTGATAAATTTGTTTTCCAGTGCTTAAGGGAGATTGAGTGTTCCCCAGCTCGAGCAAGAAGTCCCTGATCTTACTGCAGATGCAAAACAGCCCCCGCTTTGCTGTGATTCTGAGACAAGGGGGGGATGAAATCTCAGTCTTGTAGCATGGAGTCTCTCTGAATTAACAATAAAGTGTTAGTAATGAAGATTTGTCTTCATCCAGGATGGAAAAAACAATGAGTGGCAGGGAGAGAAAGGTATACTGATGGATAGGAGAACTTTTCTAAATTTACAAAGGCACAATTCCCACTAATCATACTATCCTAAATACCCAAGACAGCCTTAGAGGTTGTAGCCTATATAGATTTAGACAAAAACAAATTCAAATGGTGTACTGATGACTTTTTTCCCCCACAAAAATCTTACAATTTCTGTAATGGATGCTACCTAAATGTGGAAGAGAAATAGAATATACATATATATATATTTTAGTGTAAAAGGATGTATTCAAATGAAAGGCACTGCATAAAAAGTGGAATAGCAGTGCTGTAAATATTCTGCCTATGGTACATTTATTTCCCATTAATTACTGACATCTAGGCTAGTTGTTATAAGGAAATACATATATTTTTTTCAATTAAGCAATGCTTTTACACTTTCAAATCAACATCTGTTCTTTCAGTGCTATTGGAAATTTGAAAATTGCTGAAGTGGATCCAGGTGGTTATTTTGTAAAGATCCTGAACTGTGCCCCTGAAAAAGAGGAAAGCATTGGGGATTATCTCTTGAAACAGGACGTCCAAAGTCGACCAGTGGTTGTGTTTCGTTTTCCCCCTGAGACCAGGATGGGGCCCAACTCCACCGTGACAGTGAGTGTGGGGCTTTTGAGTGCTTTTTCTCAGCTAGCAGACTAGGATACACGCTTAGCCTGGTGGTATAGAGTCAAACTTAAGTCTCTATTTTCAGAAAGACTGACTCTCACAAATAATGATGAATTAGAAGAAGCTGCTAATGTCCATCATCAGTACAAGCCCGGTATTTGCATGACATGTCCAGCATTTGATGTCACCTAGCAATGGGAAGCTATCCTGGAAAGTGTCCTTGTTGGATACATTCCTTTTTCCAGGCATTGCTCCCACAGAAAAGCTCCCCATACTGTTAGAATATTGGGTTGTGCCAGTGTTTGCCAACAGAGGGTGTGAATCTTGGATCGGAAACCCACAAATAATAGAACTGGAAAGGAAATCCGTTTTCTGTGTTGATACGGAAGCAATTTATATGTTTTTGTGTATAATCTGAATTATACACAAAAGTTGAGGTAGGGCCTCAACTGAAAATAAAAAGAAAAATCGTGTTGCTTTCCAGATGGTGCCCACTGTTTGAGGACAGCTGTTATCCAGCAGAGAAATCCATAAACCATTGTTCTGGCAATGGGACTCTGTTCCTGCCTTTGCCTTGGATGACTTTAGGCAAAATGATGACACTCTGTGCCTTAGTTTTGAATTCTGTAAAAGGAAGATGTGCTCTCATTTGATGTTGTGCCAGAACTATGTTAAAAATTCAGTGCATGGGCTGCTGCTCTTCAAAAATTACTTCCCCTCCAGCTAGTTTAGATGTATCTTTTTGCCAGTTTGAATAAGAGTTAGAGAGGTAAGTAGGATCTAAGATGGAGAGTCAGATGACTTCATCATACCCCAGAAAAGCTTTAAATAGAAAACAACAAATATATGCATCTGATATCTATGGTAAGGAAAAAGAATTGAACGTGTAAACTAAATGTGACCAAGGCTCAGTTGTAGGTATAGCTGAGGAACATCTGCTGGTGTCTGCACGTGGCCTCCAGCAACCTCCAGGATGTACCCACGCTCACAGCAGGCATGGCTTTTGCTGTACTGACTAAAGATGCTGGCTGCTTGGCTGGCTGCAAGACACCTTGCAGATCTCTCCAGAAATTGTTTCCTCTTAGTTGGCTTTGACGTGCCAACCATTCCCACCCACTCCCTAAAGTAGCCCTTTCTGAAGTGCTTTGATCAGTCATTGCCAAGGTTGCTGTTTCCGTTATTAAAGGGCTGTTGGGTGAACAACTGACTGAAGTAGAAGTTCCACCACAGCTTCTGTTTCAGCATACACAAGAAGAAAATTTCTGCTGGTTTATTAATTTCAAAGGGTTGTATTCAGGCTGCCAACTCTTGTACCTAAAATTCATGGGCAATAGGGTCTGTGTCAGCCAGCTAGGCAGGACTTCCAGGCCCCAGCCAGCCCCCTGTGAGAGCAACAGATGAACGAAGGCCAAATGCTCAAGTTAGATGCCAGTGTGGATGGCTGGAATATGGCCTGAGGCCTCTTTTACCACTGGTGCTTCTTTCTTTTCTTGAGATGAAAATTGAATAAAAAGAGGCGAAGTCCATTTCATCACCAAGCTCAGTGCAGGTCAGTGAAGCTCTGTGTGAGCCCTCCTACAAGCAGGCTGGAAATGCAAGGTGGTGGGGACCCAGAAGAGCCACAGCCACTGCTGTCTAATGGTGTACGTGTGAGAAGGCCACAAATACACCTTGGCAGAGTGCCTCATGGTGAGTGCTTTTGGAAGAGAGCATTTCACTTTTTTTTCAAGATACTTCTCCTTTAAAATGGAAGGAGAATTGTTTTGACTCCCAGGAAACGGTTGAAGCCATTCTCTTGCAGATGGCAAATGCCAGATCCTGTACGAACACTGTCTGCAGAAACGTGCTGTGGTGCTTGTCTTATGTATGAAAAATGTTTCCATAACGGGTCCTTTTGCTACTGCATTAGTGATAAAGGTCGCAGATAATTGTGTTCACTTTATAAAGCACAACATTGTTAAATCTTTTGTATAAGAAGAAAAGTACAAAAAAATTCTAATCCCCAGCGGAGGCAGCTTCTCCCTGAACAGAGGGAATCCAGAATCAAGCAGAGACTGGAATTTTAAAGCTGATATCACATATCTCTTCCAATGCTCCTAGTAATTCAGAAAATAAAAGAAACTGCCTATTTTTAATCTTTCTCTCAGCAAGCCAGACCAAAAACCCCAGGGTTTACTATCACACCTTGAAAAATGAGCCTTTGCTAATCTCTGTTAATCCACAGGAGACGTACTTGAAAATAATCACTATAACTAAGCTGCAAGTCTTGAAAATACAGTTCTTTCAGCTTTGATTTCACAGATCAAATGGTGAACAGTGTTACAAAAATGAAAAAGGAAATGGAAAACCTGATGTTCTTACCGAGTCCTTATATTGTATAAATATCCAGGAGCCATTTGGTCTTTAATGACTGCTCGATCTTTGCAGGTTTGGGCAGCAGATGCTAAAGCGCTTCACAGACCTCCATCGGATTTTCTTTGGAAGGACCTGGAGAGATTTAGGACAAGCCTTGACTGTGCTACCATTCTCTGTGAACCTGGTGGTCAAGTGAGTGCCATGAGCAAAATCATCATGTTTCTTTACCCAGACAGCTCTGTCACTGGACATCCTTCAAAGTTTTAGGATCATATTGTTAAACTCCTTGTAGAAACAAGCACAAGCTGTGAGGTGTCTCTGTTAACCTTGCTTCAGTGTGGATATTAATGATTAGTGTCTGAAGGACTGAAGAAAAACAATAGATTGATGACACCAGTTGTTGAATGAAAGGTTAATATCCTCACAGTGACTGAAGCAGGGCCTCCACAAGTGTTAATTGCAGCCCACTATCCTCTTCCACGTGGCTATATTTCAGCCATGAGAGATCCAACCATGGGCAGGGTTATTCAGCCCATGCCTGCCTATTGGTAACTGCCATCAGCTTGGCAACTGTGTTTGAATATTTTTAGGCAAGCTTCTGTTTACTTAAAGATGGGAAAGAGCCGAAGGTAATTTTTTACCCTATAGTTGTCCAGTGGCAACTATGGGTTTGGTCATTTTTAGCCAAACAAATCAGACAAACTAGTGACAATATGGAAAAGACCTGTGATGTTCATAAACAGTGTACGCCTCCTCAAGGTAGCATAATTTACACCTTACAAGCTGTTAAGTGAATCTTGGCTTCTGGTCTCACCTTTTCACATTTATTTTTCTTCTAGCTCAGCTTGGCCATACTTGCTCTTATATCACTGCCAGGAAATCAGGCTGAAAGGGAAATTGAGACACGAAAAAGTTTTCCTACTGCCTGAACTGAACTTATAGTGCCTCAGTTTTAGTCCTTTCCTTCTTGTCCTATCCACTGTGGATGTGGAGAACAGATTCCTTTTTTTTTCCTTCAGCAGTCTTTGACATACTTGCAGAATTGTCATGTAGTCTTTTCTCTCCTTCGTTTGGTTTACTTAATTGGTGTAGCAGAATTTCAAGCCTCTTAGATGATGAGTCTACACTACATATATTTAAAGACTGGAAATGGATTTTAGAGACTGAAGAAAAAAAGCTGGGATTTGGTGGGTGCAATTAGTATTTACCTTTCAAATGATAAATAACTCAGAAATACATTGGACCTCCTACTTTTTCAGCCCATCCTGTTTTGTCTATAACAAGCAATTATCTTGATGAAAAAATGCTTTTTTCAGGCTGTGGCTTGGTACACTCCTCTCTACTGGAACGGAAGGCAAGGATGTGTGGCAAAAGAAGAAAGTAAAAAATTTGAGAAAATTGTCATACCAACTTTTTCAACAATAAAGCAGAAAGAGATGTTGGAAAATGAACAGGAATTTACTATAACTGATACAGAGTGGAAGACGGCTGACCCATGGCAAACAAGAAAAAAAAGACAAAGCTTCATTAAAAGGTATCTGATGTTCATTGTGTGTACTCTGTAATTGCAGCATTGTGCCAGACTGGCTCTGTAAGTGAATGCTTTTAAAATAGTATCTTGGTAAGCACTTTTTAAAAAGCTTTGGGATTTTTAAGAATTAACCTTAAAATTAAAGCAGGAATCCAGCCCAAAACTCCTGATAAGAGTGTGTTCATTGTCAGTCAAGACAAAGTGGAAAGTAAAATCCAAGTACAATTCTTCTTAAAAATGTGACTTTATTATTACATATTATCTGGAGTGTTTGGATGGCACCATTCAGAGACCACAACTTTAAAAGCTTTCAGCCAGAAATGTTAATGTTCGCAGAACTATTTACCTTCATCTTGAGAAGGGTGGGCCTGAACTCAGTCTTCTCTCAGCCCACTGCGCTTTGAAGTGGGCTAGGGACTGATATCCATTGCTTTCTAAATTGCTTTATAACTCTCTTCTAGCCTTTGTATATAACCTAAAATTGGCAGCACTAGCAAAAAGTACGGTTTGTTGGTCTAGCTGTGGAGAGTTTAGTTTGGACACCCAGATCTCAGTCAAGAACTCCTGAGCCGAGCCATTGACTGTTTTGAATATGGAACACAATATTGATGTTTTAAGCCCTCTCCAGAATATCAGTTCCAGGAGCTTTGGACAGACAAAACATGTATTTACGACAGAAAAAACACATTTTCATGACAGAAAAGCATGTATTTCAAAAATAAAAAATTGGGCCATCTGTATATATTTCCATCAAAAAAGTGGGTGACCCTTCTCATGTTTGGGGTAATTGCTCTTCTCTAAATTTCTTCTCCAGACTGTGGCTGGAGATGTTCAGAAGATGTTTGGTTTTCAGCATAGGTTAAATGGGTTGTTCTTTGAAAGTTTTGTTCTTAAAAATGGCCAAATCACTTTTGCTCAAACTCTTCAAAGAAACTAAGTCAGAAGTAGGGAGAAACTATGTAAAAATCCGGTGCAAAGGATTCAAGTGTGGTAAAATTATAGCCAAAGGCAAATAGTAAATTATAATGTGATATATCAAACAACATAGAAGTTGCAGTTCTTCCAGCTAGAACTAAATGTAGAATTTGTCAAATGTATGTGTGCTTGTTAGGTATATCGCATAAATTTAATGTATGTGTGCAGTAAACATAGTAAATCTATGCAAATAAAGTAATAAATATGCTAATACAATACAATAAATAATGCAGCCATAGATAAAATATACATATTGTTTATATCCTGTGCGCGCGCACACACACGTGCAAAACGTGTGACATACGCGCAGTAAACTTAATTAAATTTCTGTTTACAGGGAAAAAAAGACCTCTGCATCCCTTTTCCCTAATCAAAGTGCCTGGTGCCAAAGCGTGAGCTCTCCCACGCACCCTCACTTTTCTCTGCTGAGATCATTAACCACGGGGAATGATGGCAGCAGCTTGTGCAGGCAGTCCCGGTGTCAGTCAGCACGGCCCGACCCCACGCCAGGTGAGTTCAACAGCAGATGCCGTATAGGCTGCAGCATGCAGAGTGGCTTAGGACCTAAAATACATATCACAGAATCACAGAATCTTCTAGGTTGGAAGGGACCTTAAAGATCATCTTGTCCAACCGTCAACCTAACTGACAAAAAGAAACACCCACACAACAAACAAGGAGCATCATCACTAAACCAGACCTCCCAGCACTACATCAACCCGTCTTTTGAACACCTCCAGGGATGGGGCCTCAACCACCTCCCTGGGCAGCCCATTCCAATGCCTGAGAACCCTTTCCGTGAAAAAATTTTTCCTAATATCCAGCCTGAACCTCCCCTGGCGCAACTTGAGGCCATTTCCTCTCGTCCTGTCGCCTGTGACTTGGGAGAAGAGACCGACCCCCACCTCTCTACACCCTCCTTTCAGGGAGTTGGAGAGAGCAATAAGGTCTCCCCTCAGCCTCCTCTTCTCCAGGCTGAATAACCCCAGCTCCCTCAGCCTCTCCTCATAAGACTTATTCTCCAGACCCCTCACCATCTTTGTTGCCCTTCTCTGGACCCGCTCCAGCACCTCAATGTCTTTTTTATGGTAGGGGGCCCAAAACTGGACACAGTACTCAAGGTGAGGCCTCACCAGTGCCGAGTACAGGGGGACAATCACCTCTCGGGCCCTACTCCCCACGCTGTTCCTGACACAGGCCAGGATGCTGGTGGCCTTCTTGGCCACCTGGGCACACTGCTGGCTCCTGTTCAGCCCACAGGCCACCAACACCCCCAGGTCCTTTTCTGCCAGGCAGCTCCAGCCACTCTGCCCCCAGCCTGTAGCGCTGCAGGGGGTTGGTGTGACCCAAGTGCAGGACTTGGCACTTGGCCTTGTTGAACCTCATCCCGTTGGTCTCAGCCCATCCATCCAGCCTGTCCAGATCTCTCTGCAGAGCCTCTCTACCCTCCAGCAGATCAACACTGCCACCCAATTTGGTGTCGTCTGCGAACTTACTGAGGGTGCACTCGATCTATGCTATCGCCTCTTCCTTCTGTAGCACCAACCTGCAAACTTTTAAAATCCTGCACCCCGATCAGTAAAAGATTTTTGAACACAGTCTCTCAATATATGTACATTTATTTATTTGTAAATTATATACATTTAGTACTACAATAATATATACACTATAAAGCATACATATGAATAGAAATGTAAAAGGATGAGATAAAGATGGAAAAATACTATTTTAAAGTCTTTTAAAATTCAATTTCATTTCTTAATATTACAAAAATACTTTTCCTGCACCCCAATGGATTGTCTTGCGCTCCCCCTGGAAGACCACTGCTCTAGAACTGTGTGTGTTGTCAGATGGGAGGAGGTTATTGCTGCTAATACCGATGCACTTAGGAAATGAAACAAAATATTAGGAAACAGTAAGAGAAAGAGACCCTTATATTGGCTGTGACTTGTTAATTAGGCAGCGGTGAGAAAGTCAGTGTGTAATTTGAGTATGTCAAACCCAGAAAGCTGTTGCCATACTGGAAAGATGTGAGGGAGTATGACAGACTGAAGAAGCATCTGAAGAGATTGATTCATGAAGATGAAAAAGAAGATCAATGTGTGTTGTGCAGGCAAGGCGAGCGTCGTGTGAGGGGGTTCAAGCGTCATAGCAAGGGAGGAAACAATCTTAGGTCCAGGAAACAGAACTAGAAGGAATAGGACTAAGTGCAATACAGGCAGGCTTAGGTTGAATATGTAAATAAAAAGTTTTTATCATCTATAGTATAGTCTTCCAGTTGTGTTCATCACTCCACTTAGTATTTTAAATACTGGCGAGTTCTAAGTGCTCAGCCTCTCTTAATTTTAAAATAACAAGATATCCAGCTCCTGAAGACTGCTTTGTAGCACTCGTTCTTTTTCTAGCAAACATGTAAAACCAGACTGGTCAAATTATTTGACTATACTAAGGATGTCACCCTGTGACTTGTGTGGATAGGTGGCTGAGCAGTTGCCAGGAGTTTTTCCCTGTTTCTAGGAGTGCCTAGGCTTGAGCCAGGAAAGCATTTATGCACCCGCTTCAATGAGTAATACTGCAGCCAGGGAGGACTGTCAGGAAGATCCTTCTCAACTGTTAAATCCAGGCAAAGCAGATTAAAACCTGAGTTTGTAATAGACCTAATTTCACGAGTTCTTTCCTGCTCTGTCTTAAGCTCTGGTAGCATCAGCTGCTGGCTGTCTTATTTTGTGTCATGTCGGTTTGCCTAACTTGCTAAAATTTAGTTTGTCTTGTTCTGTGTCACTCTAAGTCTTCTGCAGAGCTGGGTCCCCCGTATCTGTTCTGTTAGTTTCCTGTACAGGGAAAAGCTGGGGACAGAAAGGGAATCGGCATCTGGGGGTGCTGGTGGCATCAGAGGTTGTGTTCACATGACAAATGCTGTGGACAAATTAGGAGCAGGTCTGTAGAGCAAACCCCTCAGTGCTGCAGACCTGGCATCCATCCTGTACACGTTTCAAAGGTGATTTACGTTGTCCCAGCTCTAGGCTGGTACAGAAGGCCATGAGGAGGCACCTACCTCTGCATGGTGTAGGTCCTATCTGGGTATGGAACTTCCAGGGCTGCTGTATAGCTCACTCATGCTCACCACAAACTGGTTTCTGTCTGAATACTGTCTTGCAGCCAGAGTGCTTCAGGTTTGAGTCCAGAGGACATCTTCTGGCTTGGTTTCATTCAAGAGGAAGCCAGCCTGTGCACCTGATAGTGCTCCATGGTGTGAACCTGAGCACAGCAAGTGGCAACTCCACTCCATGGGTGCGCTCCCCACACCTACGGACACACGCGGGACACCCCTCAGTACTTCTCCCAAACCAAAGGGAGGTTGCTGCACACAGTCATCTTTCCTACATTCCCATCTTTGGTCACATCTCCACAGATGGAGATCGGTGCTGTTGCCACCAGCTACTTTTGGTTTCAGTTTTCAAGTTTTTTCCTTGCAACTGTTACGACTAAAAACGTTTTCAATATAACAAGCAGTGGAAAACCAAAACAAGGCACCTCTGAGACTGTAATGCAGTCGTGTTGTTCCAGGACCCAGGGCTGCAGGCAAATTTATTTCCTAACTCAGAAGGCAGAATGCAAAGCAAGGTAGTCTGACACATATTAAATATACCTGACTTTTCTGTAGGTTTTCACATGCAACCCGCATACCCTCAGTCTCTCTTTCGCAGATCTCTGCAGAAGATAATTCACCCCTATTTACTTATGGTTCATTTGCAGTTCTTTTCACTACTGAATTATGAAATTATTCCTCTTAATACTGCCAGGAAAGTTAATAATATCCAAGATCTCAGATTAAAAATTAAATACGGGTATAACTATTATTTTCCTCTGATAAATATTCATGTGTAGTACGTATTACTGCCAGATTTTTTCTAGAAATTAATATATATAGAAAGATGTAAGCATCATTCTTATTTTATTACAACGCAAAAATTACAAGTGCTTTAGGCAGATTTATACAAGTATGCTGCTAGACATTATTACTGATGGTGGTAGAATGATGCTTCTCAAATATAAGAT